AAATGAGTGTAAAAATACGTCAGACAAACATAAAATAGATACTAACATCACATTCCACAAGGAAGTAACGCGTTTCAACTTGTATTTTTATGTAAATATTCACTAAAACCGAAAATTAACCTACTACTAAAACTAGCCTACATGAATTTGATTTTTGCCTCACTTGTGACAGTTCGTTTGATATGAAACTATCATTCTATGCGTTATTATTCTAAGCCCAACAGCCAATGCAAATAGCCGTGTGAAATACCACCATCACGATAGTTCAGTTTTTGTTGATAACAGCCAACAGCTTTCTATATGAGCACTGGACTATACAGAAAGAGTAATCTATATTGAATCTATATGTAGATCATCGACAGAATAACAAGGTGCTTTATATTAATGAAATACCTTTTAAGAAAAAATTCACATGCGTTCTTTAATTCATTGTCAATTTTAGAATTTGCACACCCGTTTCCTCTTAAAATTATCAAGAATATTATTAAAAATTACTTCATTTATTAAATTTAAGCTGCCCAATAGAAAAGTAAAACTAATTTATCTTTTTTTGGTTTAGAACGTTTTGGCATTCAGCATAGACTTTACAAACCTCAGTCTTTAGATTTCAAATGAAAATTTTAAAAAGTTTTTTGAGTTTATGAGAATAAAGTGAGAAAAAAGAATAAGTGAAAAATATAGCCAAGACAACAAGATTTGACAAATTATTTTAGCCGTTGATTGTTTGAAATATTGTTTAATCATCTTATACGTTTCTAATAATTGTGCTAACTATTCATCATATTTTAAGGTTCAGGACGTTTATTTATTTTTATGATATCAATTGACCGGATGAACACGTCATGTGCTTTGTGGTAAGCGACACGCCTGTCCATAGCAGTTGCAATGCCACACGGAGAGGCAATGCCACACGGAGAGGTACTGCCACTGTGTCCGTCACCCTGAGACATGGGATGTTTTGATCGAGAAACTATAGACGATATGGAATTAGCGTAGTAGTATTAGGTCCAAGTTTGCAAAGGAATTTTTTTTTTTCCAAATATGGACGGGAAGCGTGGTACATTGTATGCGTTTTAAATTTGGGCGAGTTACATGAATTTTGTTTCATTCGAGAAGCGTACGATACATTTATTTACTTTAAAACTAAAATGTGAAGTCGAACCTATTAGTAATATTTTAATTTCGCTGCAAGCAGCCTTTATCAACACGTAAATGAAAAATAGAGGAAGTATAAATTGACATATTTGTACGTATTGGAAGGAATTGACACTTGGAAGACAGAAAAGGAATAATATGTACCGAGAATAAACATACGACGTGTTTATATAGCCTAATCTTTCAAAGATTTGCGAAAAGTTAACGGAACTAGAATTTTGTATTGGTTGAATCACGGTAGTGCACTTACAAGTTCCAAATGGAAGCAAGTAGAGTGCACCCTTTCCCAACAATAAAATTCCCTTTAACGTCAAAAATACTTGGAAATAAAATTAAATAAAATAGATTGTACAGTCGATGCTCCAGGATACCAGACTCCCTAGTCGAGCTTTTGGCTCTATGAGGCTTCTTACGCATCTAACAGAAAAGTGTACAGGAATTCCAGCTTTTTGGTTGAAATTTTGTATGTATGTATGTAAGTAATGTAATTTAAAATCTTAACCTACGGTGCACAGACATGGTCACTGACCGAGTTCCAGAAGTCTAAACTCAAGATCTGCCAGAGGGCGATGGAACGTAGCATTCTGGGCCTTAAACCTATTAACCGAGTACGCAATACAATGCTGCGTTCGATGACTGGTATTGCTGATGTGGGGAGCGAAACAGCCAGGCTCAAATGAGATTTGGCGGGCCACGTTAACCGGATGCAACCTGAGAAGTCGTCACTCCTTGGGTACCCGAGAATGGAAAGAGACGGCGTGGATGGCCGCGAAGGCGTTGGCGGGACGATTTTGATGGATTTGAAAGGGAGTGGTGGGAGATCGCCAAAGACAGGGAATGATGGAGGACTTTGGGGGAGACCTTTGCCCAGCAGTGGGACATAATTTTTAAACTAAATAAGTTCTATGTTGTTTGTTGTAAATGTTGGACACCACATTACATACACTTATCACTGTATATATGTATCAAATCATTATTTAAGTATTCTATACATATAACTGAACACAACACACTACATTACAGAAATATTTATGTAATTTATTTAAGTTTACTCGTATATTCGCGACACACACGTCCGGTACTCACTCGGTTTTAGGGCCCACTGAAAATCAGCGTCACAGCCTTTTCTCGGTGGTGACAATAGCTGAGTGGGATCCTGTTACATACGCCACAGCCGCGCACATGACATTCAATCTAATTGTGTTGAATATTTAATGTTTGCTTTGTTGTTGTGTATGATTTTATTATTATTCCTTTTTTTCCTGTTATTTTAATTTTAATTTTTTGTTTTAATTTAGCTTCATCTTTTTTTATCTTCATTTTATTACTGTGTATATTTTTGTTGTGGCGTAGTAATAAACGATTTCTATTCTGTTCTATTTTATAATAGGTTAATTAAAAAAATAATAATTAAAGATCAAATTGGATTAATAAATTTCTTAAAATTTCATTCACTAATGATGCAATGAGAAAGCCATGAAAACGAATTGTACGACTAAAAGATTAAGGTTAAGTTGGTTTGACACTTTTCTTCACTGTGATCGACTCAGAAACAATTAATCGGTGGGTGTCAGGTATCTTAGGGTATCGACTGTACTATTAGTAGCCACAGATAAAGACAAAAGCGTAAATAATTATCAAAAAAGAATAGTATTAAATATTGTTAGATATGAGCGCGAACTTGGCTATTTGTTTCGTGCGCTCTTTGAAGGGTTAAATTCATAACAATTAACGTTTTGTACATTTTTTGTTTAACTACAATTAACATTTAAGCTTGGGGACTAGATACATAAGCCGAACGTAATTCTAAGACATTTTTTAATATAAAATGTACCTATGTACAACAGAAATTTATTATGCATGACTTTTATTACAATCAATTTATTTTAATAGTAGTGATAATATAGTTAAGACTAAGTCTGATCCGTGTCCGTGCGATCGTTGAATAGGTAGCTGTGGCAATTTTTATTTTACGTAGTACTTCATATTAAAAAAAAAGCTACTCGGAATTGATTCGAGAAAAGGATAATATATAAGGACTGTCTTAGCTCTTGTGCAGCACAGCCGTATTTCCAAGACTAAAGACACGCATAAAAAATGTTGTTACGGCAACGGTAAGTACTCTCAACTTTGACAGTTTATTTTTATTGGTAGCTGGGGTATTAGCTGTTGCCAGAGCACATGACAAAAAGTACCCAAAAAAATTCCTTTTTTTGGAAGTCGGTTAAACATTGGAAAACTGGCAACTTGTATATTTTTGAAATTACTTCAGTCTGAAATTAGCTAATGTCGCTTTTGATGACTGGTGGGTATGGTATTAATTCGAAAAAATAATCTCAATGTTTTTTCTGGTCACATTTGCTATTTTTGAGTTACGCTTAAGTCAGTACGATATAAAGATTGCCATCGCTACCGCTCGAAGGCACGCATCCGCGATCCACAAGACAGTAAGTTCCTAACAGATTCACAATTATCAAAAAATAAAAGTATCAAATCTCAAAAACTTTTCCAAATTGCTTTTCTTTTCACCTGTGATGATCACAATCATTTTATCAAATTCTATCGAGTACACTTAATATAATTTATTTGATTTAAGTTGCCTTATCTAAGGCCTCAATTCGGAATACTTGTAGGCGGACAGAGAGATGTAGACCCTATCATATATTCGAAAATAGAATACGTACTCTCTTGGTTTTTAAAAGTGGGCGTAGGTTTTATTAGTAGGAGAATCGTAATAAGAGCGTAAATACCTCGCTCAGTCAATTTTGACGCCAATTTGTTGTTATATAGACACAAAGGTCGGACAAACCACGGGAGAAAAAAAACAATAGAAGCGTCTTAAAGCCTCGATTACAATCAGAACCGCTGTCGCTAAGACGTACAAAAACAAGTACGAAATCTTGATAATGATTGGTCATAGTTTATAATTTAAAAAGATGTAACAAATTCTGGATTGTTAATACAATTTAAAATTTACCCCTCACTATAGCCTTGAAAGTTCAATAAATTTATTGCAAGTTACGACGTTTTGATTTTATAAAGAATTTTTATTCAACATGCTGCCATCTTGTGGCCAGTAGCTGGATTACGTCGAACGATTAACGTCTGAATCAATTCGATAAACAAAAAAATTAAAATTTATTAAAATAAAACTTGAAATACGGGTAATATTTTTAAGAATTTTAAGATAAGTGATTTTGCACTCCAAATAAAAACAAAAAAATAGCGGACTCTGATCAAGTAACCACTTCTATTGTATGTATTGTTCTGAGGGACAAAGAAAAATTAATTCGTTCCGGCTGGACTGTAACTAACGACCTCGATACCCTGGGAATATCGCTCTTCCAACGAGAAATTCGCAGCTCAGTTGGGAGAGCGATAGCCCCGGTGCGGTGAGGTCGCTGGTTTCAGTCCAGTCGGATCAAAGGAATTTTTCTACGTGTTTGTTCGATCTTTGTAACAACATAACTTTATAATTGTAAAATTCTTTTTAAGATGATTTATACACATATTGGCGTTTACCTCTACTCCACGGTTGTGAAAATTGTTACTTACATAGTTGTAAGTAGCAGTAAAATACGAGCTCAGGCATCTTACTTACATTAATATTTCTTTAATTCCGGTAAATAGGGTCTATTAATCGTCAGCCTACGAAAAAATAAAACTGTAGTAACACTGTATATTATGTTAAAAACATTTTGTCCTTCAATATCCGAAATATTTAAGACCTATTAAGGATCGTGCAAATTTGTTTCGCATACGGATTACTCCTCATTTCAGTGTCATGCGGATTATTCCTCATTTCAGTGTCATGCGGATATTTCCTCACTTTAGTGTCTTACGGATTCTTCCTCATTTTAATGACATGCGGTTGCGATTCTCAATTCAGTGTAATGAGTGTTAATCCGCATTTTAATATAGCAGTCTGTCAATGGTAAGTAGTTTTTTTTTAACCCGCAGGCACGACATAATACGCATGAAGGCGTCTCTGTCGACAATCTCCATTACGTAAAAATAAAATACGTGGTAACATCATTAAGTAATTACGCCACCATATCAACAACAAGTTCGTTATAAATACTTAATAACTTATTTTAGTTAATCTAGTAGGTTAACCATATAATAAGTACACATGATAAGGAGACTGTACACCTAAGCCCAAATCTCAAGCGTCCGCCATGAATTTATGACGATACGCTTAAGGTATACTTTCTTCATTTCACCACAATTCCAGCGAAAATTGAGTTTTCAGTATTGCCAGTCGCTAACACCACGTAGAATTTTCTATAGCAAAATGTATGTCGCCCCTGGCTGTTACGATAATAAACATTTTCATACGATTTTTTAATGCGGTCGTTAGAGACTACGAAAATTGCTATCAGAGGTGCTGATAATTTAGGAATAGATTTTCCCATTTGAATACTACATTATTCAATTGGAAAAAAACGTAGTGTGGTTTAACTATACTCGGCACAATACTGCGTGTAGTTTTCATTTATATATAATATATTGATATTTGCATAAAGGTGACAACGATTTTTTATTCAGTTAAAGGATATAAATAGAAATTTTTATTCCCAATAGGTCACCGGTGTATGAAATGGATAGAAATTTTCCTTTCATACGCGAGTGGCAAGATGGTGACTAAAAGAGAAATGAATCAAATGTACAGTTTAGCTTAATTACAACCACCCTAAAGAGACCTAAACATACAAAGGGTATGAAAAAGTGCTTATATTACATTAGGGGGGTGAGGTCAGCGCTGGAACGGCGCGGGGGCGCAGGCGGCGCAGGGCGGGGGGGCAGCTATGGCGGCGGACGCGCGTAATAATGCCCTGTGCGCGCCGGCAGGGGTGGGGGGGTGTCCTGTGAATGCAGGTGTGTCTATTAGGGGTAGGTTTTGTATTTTCGTGAGTAAGTGGAAAGGCTTACAAATTACTTTTGGACCCTAAAACAGTGTCGTTTCTACTTTATAGTCTTGTCTTTTTTGAAGACGGAGTAAAATGGCATTGGTAGGGTTGCTAGCTTTCATAAAATCTTAAATAGTTATGTAGTGGCTACATAACACAATCTATCGATAAAACTATCGACAACAACTGTCGATAAAACTATCGACAACAACTGTTGTTGTCGATAGTTTTATCGCTAGATTGTGAAGGATAAAATTTTACCAAAAATGACTGAATTGTGAATGTTACGACGTTCTAATGGTTACTAATTGCGTTATCGCATTCTTTATTCTTATTTTGACAGTTGATCTACTAGTATACATTTTAACAAAAATAGCCGGATTTTTTATTATATAGTTGAATTAAAATGAAAAATTTTAAAATGTCTCTTTGTGTTTTTCATAAACATAGTTCCGAATACTGTATATGTATGTGTGAATTTACAAAAATTGACAATTAAAATGAACTTGTGCTCTGTAATAGGATGAATAATGGGTTGAGGATGATTCAAATGAAACAAATTCGGCCGTAATAAGCAAGTGACCAACATTCAGTCGATAGTCGATAGAATATTTATTTATCGACTGCAATCACTAGCTGCTTGCATGCGAGCAAGACTTTTGCACAATGAACTGTCATTTAACTCCTTCTTCAAAAAACATAGACTATAGACAAATAATATTCGTGTGTAACATTGCAAACACCCAAATGTAACTTGTCATTCTTTAGATTTAAGTATACATATCGTTTGTAGGAATACTTAGTATTTGCCATCTAGTATGTGTCATGCACTATGTATTTTGTAGTATTTGTCATCTAGCATCTGTCATCCAGTATCTGTCATCTAGTATCTGTCATGTAGGATCTAGTAGTATTTGTCAACTAGTATCTGTCATCAAGTATCTCTCTTGTAGGATCTGTCTAGTAGTACTTGTCATTTAGTATCTGCCATGTTGTATCTATTTTGTAGTATTTGTCATCTAGAATCTGTCATATAGCTAAAGAAGGCCAACAGACGTAGCATAATCCTAAGAATCAATCGCAGTGGAAATTACTAGCAAAATAATACTTCTACTAAATCTTGAGCGCATAACATACGAGTACAATTATAATACATTACAATAATGTTTTTTAAGTAAATAGCTTTAAAAAAAATTAAATAAATGATAAAAAAATTAACAAACCTGAAGCAATCTTTAAAACCAATTTAGGAATGTGTTTTAACACTAGATGCCATGCTCTGTAATAAAATAGAAAAATAAAAATCATAATATAAACCAAACAGTGCACCAAGTAAGCAGAACTACACTAAATACTCTAATAGAACATTAAGTGACAAACATTGGTCACAGGTGTCTTATAACCTGGAGAAACGCGTACAGTACCATCTTTTAAATTCCAAGCATCGGAGCTAATCCAGTTTTACAGGAGTTGACGTTGAAAAAAATAAAGGTTAAACTCTAATTCGGCTGCAGAGTCTTACATAATTTGCAATGTAATGTACATTTTTTTTTTAGATACAACTAAGGGAAAATTGTTTTCTTTTTTTTGTTCAGATTAGTTTAGCTTTTTGTTATATATATATTTTTTTCTGATTGCATTTTTGTGAACAGCTGAATAAATATAATAATAAATGTTATTAATAATAATAATAGAACAGCATACAAAATAATCAAATGTAATAATTACATAAGTGTTATAATTGATTATTTCGTACATTATTATTATAATTGATATATAATTCTATATATAATTGTTAAAAGCATTTATTACTATTTATTCGGCTACCTACTCATAAACATGCAATAATAACAAAAAAATTTAAAAATAACAAAAAATTAAACACAAAAGTAACGTTAATAAAAAAAGAAAGAAAATCAAATAAAAAACACATTAATAGCCGAAAAAGCTAGCGAACTCAGCTTAATACTGGGCAGAGTCTCACTTCATTCTACATATTTTATTTGAAATTACTTTTTTGAATAATTTGAAATTTGAAGTTTTCTTATTATATTCGGCAGTTTCCGTAAAACCCGCACGACTCCGAAGCTTGGAGTTTAAAAAAATATATATTAAAATAGCACTGTAACTATAGTGATATTAATATCCTCAACAACCCGAACAATTATAATCTAGAACGCAGGTTCCCAAATTTTTGTCAATTGCGGTAGCAAACCCTGTACAATATCGTAATTGGACTTCCCAATTGCTTCCGAGGGCTGCCCTAGGACTCTTCAGCGCCCACTGGGGGTATGTGTAGGTGGGGTAGGGACCAGTTTGGGCAACTATGATCTAGAACTATTATCAAGACCCATCGAATATATAACCAGAAATGGAGACGAAATAAGGGCCATCTATCCATGGCAACTCATCAGGTAAATGGGCCTTATATCACTTTTAAATATCAACTCTCGTTTGCTTTGAAATAACAAATTAGAAAACTGAAATAGTACAGCGCCAACAACTGGCCTGTGTGTATGTCTCCGTATATTCCAAAAATATTCTGTATTTATCATTGACTTACAAATAAATGGACGACGGGTCTAATACAAAAACCACGAAAAAAATGTCCCAAGTCAACCTATTCGAAATTTAAATTGTAATGTCATCGCAGTATCGCGCTGTCAGTAGAACAAATGAAGACTAAAGCGGAGTGTCGCGCTCTGTATACGATTTTAGCGCCTTACAAGTGCGGACACTTTTTAGCGCGGACCCGACGTCCATATAATTGTAAGTCAATGGTATTTATTGTAATAAAGAACGTGGGTTTTCTACCAATGGGGGCTGTTCCATTCGGTGGTATGGGAAAAACAGCAAAACATCTAATTGCAAAACAAACGTGTTCACATTTCATCGGTAATTAAATATTAAATAAGTATGTAATTTTTAAATTTTCGTGCATTATAGCAAAGCTCTAGTTAAACTGGACGATTTGAAGTTGAACCATTGACGACACCCGTTAATAGTTTCGAATTCGGTCTGGCCAATCGGAGCGCAGTTGTCACAGTAATGATTTGGCAGAACAGTTTTCAAACAAATTAAATGACACTTCATCTCTATTTCTGGTTATAATATACTCGATGGCAAAACCTGATTGATATTTCATACATCCAACCTAAACAATATTACACCGTCGCTTTGTATATGGTAATATTGTGGTCAAGCATTCATCGCTAAGAAAAATATAGCCCTAAATCGTCCAAATCATGTGATTCCTCTCCTCCTACCTTACTAAAGAAGCAATTTATCTATAGCGGTACACCATGTACAGGGTGTTGTAATAAGGTACCTGTACGTTGTTGTCGTGAATATAATGTCGAGGTGGCTGCGGTCGCGGCATCGGCTCGTCGCTATCTTCGTCCTCTTCAAAATCTGTAACAAGAAATTGTAGTAACAATAATGGCTCTGAGTGCGGGACTGGCAGTGTTGTTGTAAAGTTGTTCGTTATTTTGTAAAAATATTAAACAACCAAGAGAATTTCGTTATTTTTAATAGGGCTGACGCAGATATGCGCCTGAGTTTTATTCCGGTGCTTTATTAACGCCAGGTTTATATCGGGTTCAAATCCACTAACGCCCGAAATCGAGGGCAAAAAGTATTTACTACGAAATGTTTATTATAAATGGAGTTTTATTTAAATTCAATGATTTTAATTTTTTTGGGAAATTTGCCATCTACCCCTGATATCGAGACTTTTTTCTCACCACTTTCTAGCGTGTCACGTTTGGAGAAGGAATTATCTATTTTATTTTTGTATAAAGCAGTTCTCTCTTATCGAATCTCTTATTGCAAATCGGTTGAATTAATACGTAAGTAATACGTTCACGTAATATCAAATGTATTAAACATTTGATATTACGTGAACTAACTTAATGTGGATCAATCTACACGTATGTATTGAATCTATTTTTGGCGGTAAGATGTCGCTCAACGTTAAGAAACTAAGAAACTGACAGTTGTAGATATAAGTGCGGTTACATACTAATTAGTCATTCGAACACAGGAAATGAAACTATTTTTCTGGATTTAAATCGCGTATATTTGTTTTTATAGGTCCCATGGTCACGGTTGATATGGGACCTGTAAAGGGCCCGAAACGTCGGTTAATTTAATTTAAATATGATTTTATTTCCAGACTTAGACAGGGTTTTAGTATAATTTGAAAAATCTAATGAATTCATTTTATTCAAACTTGTAACTATGACGTTTGAAGACGCTAAAAATTCTTTTAATAATAATGTCGTCATTGTTTTTTACATTTATGGAAACTGCAACTCTTTGCCGGCCTAGGCCGGTAAAATAAGTAAGAAATTCCATTTCTGTCCACTGCTCTAATCTTTTAAATAATCTACTAATAAAGAGCTATGCAAACAGGCTAAAGAAAAGCTGTCGCACAGCCAAGTCACTAGCATCAGTGTCCGTAATGAAAAGAGTTAAAATTATCGTCTATAGTATTACGTATATTGTGTTTAAATTATGGTGCACGAATATACATACCTGCAACACGCACTTTAAAAAAAATAGCGATAAAATAAACGAAAGTTATTTGAAGTTCTTTTTTCTTATTTTCACTTTTTGTATTTTTTATATTCTCTTCGCGAAAAATGAGTTCTAATGATAAGAGCGAGAGTACAAAAGTGAAATGACGTGCACTCCGCCTAAATTAAATCAAGAGGCAAAATTTGTTAATGGTAATGACAGTTATCGCTAGGGACTGTGTAAGCAATTTGGCAAATCGTCGCCTTACTTTCTTAAACTCGTGTCTTAAAGCACCAAGTTACTGAAATGCAAAAAATGGATTGTATATACAAATTTTACAGGCTGGTTTCACATCACATTTCCTTCATATTCACACACTGGCTTTTACCTATTCTTATAGTAATACATCCAAATTAACACTCTGGATAAGAAATTTAAAATAAACAGAAAGTTTTGCCATAAACTGAATAATCGTTCTTTATAAGATAAATAATTTGTATGGTAATTGCGCCTCTAGCGGTTACATGATGTAATTTTGTTTACAAATATTTTACGCGTTCGCTTATAGTTCTGGTACGGATGCAACAAACGATATTTTTTCTAAAATTTGTTACGAAATATTTTATAAAAACACAATTGTCTTTCATTAAACAAAAACTACGCAATGACTTTATAAGGTACAACTTACTCAAGGGCGATTTTAACTATGCGGAAACTTGTACCGAGACCAAAAATATTCGAGATAATTTGCATACCCTCATGCAAAAATAGTATTACCACTACGATTACGATAAAGGAGAGAGGTTATAAATGTTACGTATAGTAAATAAATAATAAGAAATAGCATGCTCGAAATTAAGTAAATAATTCGAAATTTACCTAACCGACCGACTGCTCATCGTACCTTTAACAGTGTATTGTTTGAATGATTAACACTCATTTCAGGCTTCTGACCACGGTATGACTTCTTTTTATTTTCCCGATATTTCGGAACGGTTGCACGCTCCATGGTCACGGGTTGACTGGACGGTGGCAGATGACAGCTTTAGCTGATAGCAATTGTCCTAACATGTCATATATTAGTACTTTTAGTTTTAATTAATATTTGTTTACTTTTTCTATTATACATCTTTTTCTATTTAATATTTTTTTACTTCCTAACATTGTTTGAGAAAAGCACTACACGTGACTCGGCGGGAACATTACACGACTCGTATTAATACAAGGCCTCGGACGCTCGGTCTTGTAACTCATACTCGTCCAGCAATCCATTACTTCCCGGCCTCTGCAATAATGTACTAATTCATCACAGCATTCTCGTGCTATATTGAAATAACCGTTGTCAAATGCAATACTTACATGTTGATATTTTTATACCAGTATCGCGGATTGTTATATCGGTTATGGAGTATGATTATGAAATAGAAATGAAATGCTGAACAATTCTGACTCTTGTTCAAACAACCATAAACACGTCTATAATTTGATGTCATTTTTTAAAACCGAGCGAAAGGCTCAATTTCACAATGAATGGCCTTGTACAACGAGAGAGCATATGCGACTGTTTGCGTCCGTATACGCGCGCGGCGGGTGCACACATACAAGCCGCGCTGCTACGTTTGTATGAAGTTACACTACTTGTCTTATTATATTATGGTAGAACCTTTGTAGTTATTGTTACTTATAACGAGCTCCGTCACTGCCTCGAGGTTATGCGATAAGTGCCTACAGTAGAAGCACTCCGACAAGTCTTTCATTTACATTGCAATCCTTGTACAACCCCAGCATTCGGTTCCGCACGACTGCACACGTTATTTTTACCTCTCCGAGCGCGTGCTCATGTTCCTTTTTCCTCGTACTGAACGCCTGATTTCATGAGTCAGATGTAGTAGGCTATTATAGCGAAGATATTTTCGATTTTGTATGAGAGTGATGTATCTGTTAGCGTAGTAACTATTAAGTAATCTGTGCTTAAAGTACAGGGAACTATAAAGTTTGAGACCAGGATTGTCTGGTTACCTGTTGTAAAATGACCTCAAGATGGAATTACATTCGAAGTGATAAGGGACCCTTAACTTACTTCTCTGTTTTCTGGAGTCAGCATGCCCCTTCACGGTGTCCTCAGTGTCGGACCCCTCTGCAAAACATTTAATAAGTGAAACAACTACATTTAGATATTGGTGCAAAATAGATTTCAAAATAAGGTATAGAATAGTCGGGAGAAGTGCATTACCCCAAAATCGTGAATCGTAACGATATAGAATCTTGTTACTGGATTTTGGGGATTCGGGTATATGTAAACTTAATTAAAAGTAGGAAATATGGAAATTTCCCATATTTACAATACAATTTAAGTGTCAAAATTTAAATACTAACTGATTTATTATAAATAAATCAGCTGATATGCCAAATTGAGCCGTCTCATTTTGTGCCGTGACATTTTCGTTAATGTCGATCTTTTTCGTGCATCTTTTCTTGTGGAGGCTACAAAGAGAGTTCCAGGAGTCAGGCAGCAGCGTCAGAACGATTGAGATTCGACAGCTTGGCGACAACGCGAGAAAACAAGTGATAGTGCGACTGGGTGCACTTCTCTCGACAACAAATAAAAACTGTAATATTTGTACTGAAAAGGTATTTTTAATAAAACATGAATTCAAACATGTCCATCGATGTACCTGTCTATTTCAAATGTGCACGTCAAATCATGCGCATTCCAAAAAGGTGCTCGAAAAACGGATAACATGCTAAAAATAACACTTTAAACGTTTATTATGATTCTCACCACCATTTTTAAAACGTATTTTTATAAATTTAACTCAAAACTGTCAGTCACAAGGTCGGCCCTGCCAAAGTGTGTGGGACGTGAGAGGGGTGAGTATTCTCGACCAGTTACGCCCTTCCTACGAGACATGAAAGGACCAATCATGATTAATTTTTATTATTACGTGACTTGGTGCGATGGTGATTGGTCGGTAGTTTTCCTCTTGCCCGACGAAAAAAAAACTGAAGTAATAAGTGAAAAATGCTTACCTGAGTTAAGTTCTCGAACGAGGGTGGACATGGCGTTCGTTACTGAATCCGCTGCATAGAGAAGATCGCTACGTAGGCCCCTGTTGTCTATACCCACTGAAAACAAATTAATCGTGGCCTTTTAAAGTTTTCTAAAACCCACCAATGATGAAGGAAGGGAACACGCCGCGTTGAGACAGTGCAACAAAAGCATGTTCAAAGTGTAGCTCAAAAGTATGGTATTGGTATCAAAGTAAAAAAATCCAACCAATATAGCTCCTTTCTTGGATTTATTACTAGAGATGGGAAAAATTCTTACTTTTTTAAATATCGAGTTCTTAGGTTTTCGTGATTGTTACACATAGAAAATGAAACTATTTATCCGGATTTAAATCGCGTATATTTGTTTTTTCATTCAAACCGACTTTTCGGGCCCTTTACAGGTCCCATGGTCACGGTTGATTGATTCATTGCTGAGATTTTTTGAGAAAATACGGAATTTTATTGTGAATGGGACACTGATATATTAATTGGTTAAAAATAATCACATGACAATTGGGATGGTGTATGATATGGATATGTCATAATTTTGCGCGGTTGACAAATTTTTCCAAATAATCTTCTTGACAAATTAGAAGCTTTTGAGATATGCGACTATTCTAGAAAACCATTAATCTGTAAACAGTTTCAGAAATTACAACACATGGTATGAAGTATGTTTGTGTGACGTATGGCCAAACACTTAGTAATAAATGGTATTTATGATTACTTACTGGTGGTAGGTCGTTGGTGCGGATGGAAATTTCGTCCATCGTTGCCCATGCTCTCCATTCCACCTGTATAGTCATCGGTTAAGTTAGGAAATATTATTTATAATGACGATTAGTCTCCTAAGACCCAGTAAATTAGAATGTAAAAAGCGCTAAGCGCCCAATGTACTAAAAGTATTTTATGCAATCGTTGCATAATGAGGATTCTTACAGTCGAGTGCGCCGAGTGGCCTAAGTAACAGGTGCGAGAATTTAAGACCTAATTATGTAATGATTGGATACAATACATTTTCAATGAGTAAATAAAATAATGAAACATAACCAATATTTAATGTCATCGAGTATATAACCAGAAATAGAGACGAAATCAGGGCCCTGGCAACTCATCAGGCAAATGGACCTTATATCTGTTTCAAATATCAACTCTCGTTTGAGCTGAAATCACAAATTAGAAAGCTGAAATAGTACCGCATCAACAACTCGACCAGTGTGTACGTCTTCGTATATTCCAAAAATATTCTGTATTTATTGTAATAAAGACAATATCTCTAACAATGGGGGCTGTTCCATTCGGTGGTGTGGGAGAAACAGCAAAACATCTAATAACGAAACAAAATGAATCACATTTCATCTGTTATTAAATATGTGATTTTTCAATTATCGTCCATTATAGCAAAGCTCAAGTTAAACTGGTCGATTTGAAGTGAAACAATTGACGATACCCGTTAATTGTTTCGAATACGGACTGGCCAATCGGAGTGCAGTAGTCACCGTAATGATTTGGCAGAATAGTTTTCAAACAAATTAAATGCCATTTTGTCTCTATTTCTGGTTACATACTCGATGTATATTTTATTAGCAATCCTCGACAACAAACTCAAACAAAAACAAAAGCTAAACAAACGCTACAGAACAAACACCAAAGAGATTGAATAGAAGTGGCTAACTACCGGTTATAGACAGATAAAAAAAACTTTTTATTTTGTAAAGGGTTATGACACGGTTGCAAGACATTTAGGCCAATTTAACCAATCAGGAGACAGTATAGCGTTTGAGTAGCGTAATATTTGATGAATTTTGTGCGAATATGCATAAAACAAAAGGCATGTGCAAACCAAAATATTCTTCAACTTACCGAGACTGTGTGTCATGTCGATTCTTTCTCGTTCGCCGAGAGATGGGGTTTGCGGCGCACTGCGGGCTGTACCTCGCATCGGGGGTTCTCTTTCCCTGCTGAAGAAGTAGAGTATATTATTGATTTTTAATAAATAAAACAAATTATTTGCATTGAAATTGTTCTACAATAGGGCATCGTTAATTTTTTAGAAAGTATTTAAAAGTAATCATAGTGGATATACAGGATTATTTGTAATGATGGCACTTCACATGGCTGTTAATATTTGATATATTTGGCAAATAATCACCACGTGTAATTAGCATGTTTGAGAAAGTATTTGCCTTGTTTGTAAATTCGGCAAATACAGCAAACACTAAATTCGCATTACCGCGCGCTGGACGGTTTCTCGGCGCACATCAAAGGAGCCAAAGAGGCAAATACGCAAGTAAACCACACTATGGTCATTAACTCCTTATTTGGCTTCATGTGTAGACGGTCATATTTGTCAGTGACTGCATGTTTGTCTTGTACGTCAAATATTTTTCCAAGTACATTAAACACACAGCGAATACTAAAGTACCGGCACGCTATGATGGCCGTTTTGACGTTTGTCCGCTCATCAATTTTCGTATTAATTCATAACTAATGCTCCTTCAAGGAGCTAATTGATGTGCATTGTTGTCATTAGTGACGTGCAGTAAAATTATGGATGTATAATTTTACGACACAACTCGGCAATTGTTTTCCGAAAATCGAAATTTAAAAAAATGTAATCTTATACGATCGTCATTTATGGGAGCGCTGGCCAGCACAACTTCTACCTCCGGCAAACTCGTGTCAAGGCTCAATGCAAAACAAAGCAGTTTTGACGATTATATTAAGTAAATTTTTTTTTTCGTTTTATTAAAACTTTTGAATCAGCAACCCGTTGCTAGTTATAAATTTAAAAACTTATAGATGCGACTCGCATATGCTTATATTTTTTTCGATAATGAATTGAGATTTGACCTCACTATTGTAATCTGTTATAACGGCCATGATAACGTGCCGGTACAGTAGTAGCCATGTGAAGTGCCGCTTTAGAAGTGACTATATTGCTAACATCATAAACAACAACTTCTGTTCAATAACTTTTTGCAAAACATAATAAATAAATTTACCAAAAAGAAACTTTTACGCTAGCGGGACTTTAGAGATGGCGATACAATGAAAACCAATACGCACCCACCCGACTACGAAGGTTGTCAGAATAATGATTGGTCGTAGTTTCGAATTTAAAAAGGAATAACAAATTCTGACAGTAATATAACTTAAACTTTTTTACATATTATTGCAAGTAACGACGTTTTGATATTTTATTGAAATTTCAATCAATGTGCTGCCCTCTATCGGTCAATAGCTGAACGACGACGAACGATTGACGTACGTCGAATAGCGAGAAACCAGAAAATCGAGATCAATCATTAGTTCTCCAAAAAAGAAGCGACCATATTGCAGAGGTGTAAGGTTAGCATTCGTCTCTAATAACAAAAAATGTGTTACGATAAAAATAATATTTCCCAAATTGGTCGGGAATCGAAGCCGGAACCTCTGCCCAGTGTAACCGTTAGGCCTCCGAGGTCGTCAAATTTAAAAATACAAATCATTATTTACCAAAAGTTTTGGTTAAAATCATTGACCTACTAACAAATGGACGTCGGGTTCGCGCTAAAAAGTGTCCGGTCCTATAGGGCGTTAAAATTGCATACAGAGCATCAATCGCGCAACAGTCTTCGTTTGTTCGACTGACAGCGCGGTTGTCAATCATGCAGTACTATATAATAATAACTTGTAAAAATTACTGCAGTAAAGTGTAAAAACCGGATTTTGTATCATATTTTCACTAAAAAAATTTAATGTGTTATCATACTTATCAGTTCAAAGTGTTAGTTTGTACAGTTGTATAGTACGTAATTTATATATAAATTAATCGTAAATATAAATTACAAAAGCAAACAAAATAATCAAATAGCTAACTGTCCTTTTTCTACACATTGCATGCGCAAAAGCTAGAAAGAGACCCATTACGTCAATTTCAAGAAGCTTATATAAACTTCTTGGTCATTTTCAATTGTTCGAACCATAAGCAATTGAAATATTTGGAACAAAGAAACTATAGAGTCGTGTTGATTTTAATCTTATTTTTAAAATAACTTTTTATTAAACGTTAGCAATAACTAACAAAATATTGTTGTAGTCGTGTTACGGCTTGAGATTACCTATCAGAAGTCAGAAAATACATTTGCCCGAAATAACGATAGCTCGAATTTTCATAATGTCAAATGTATTTTTTTAGGAATGTTACTAAACAAAAGCAAATTTTGGTTTTGTGAGACGCATCAAAATTACTTGAAAGCGTAACGGTTTTATTATAAATCGGTCGGAATTACGGATATTTGAGTTTATATTTAGTTGGAATATCGGTACATTTCTTATAGTACCCGCTTATTTTCACATTTGTAATATTTGCATGTATGTATCTGCCCAACCTTTTACTATTTCTTGAAGTGAATTTGTACAAAATTATTAAAAATTAATTGATATTTACAATAAAGGCTGCTCTATTACTCTTGTGTTCAAGTAATTTTCAGTCGAAGCTAAATAATATGGTGCATTTTTTTAAGCTTCCAGTAGAAGCTGAATATGGTGTTTTTGTACCCTTTAAATTGTTGCAAGCAAAATTAGGCAGTATTGCAATGACGTTACAATTTAAATTAAATGTTTTAGTTTTTTTATATTTCGTGTCACTACGTTTGTATAGGTTAACTTCGGCCATTTTTTTCGTGGCTTTTGTATTGACCCGACGTCCATTTGTTGGTAGGTCAATGGGTTAAATGATCGTTTTTATTACACTAACATTGTTTTCAAGTACTTTTTAGATTACATCTGATTATGTGTCCGATTGCTTCTTGTTTAAATGACTATGAGCTATTCAATAGAGTTGATAACTGATTGATGATGTTACCTCTCCGGAGCGGGCGCGGGCGCACTGGGCTGCGGCTGCGCACCCGGAAGAGGGGGACTCTTTGTCGACCGAGGAGACGAGTTGGGGGTGGACCGAGGGGATGATTGTTGCGTCTGAAACGGTTTTCTGTTATTCTAAACTCTACTATGAACACAGTCACACTCCCTACCTATAATGTTCGAAGAGCGTACAGAAATAAAATTTCCTTACAACTGTAGTTCAGTCAACTTGAATCTAATCCGAAATTAAGAAGGTAGATACTAAACCATTAAATACCGAACGTTTTCGCTAAGGTTAAGCTATAGGAGATCACCTGTACCGACCTTCAACATCCTCATGAGTCCTTCCAACTGCTGCATGAGGTGCTTCCGTGACTCCTGCAAGCTGGAAAGGTGTCCCTCTAGCTCATCCTTGCGCGCGCGCAGCGCTCGTAATTCGGACACGAGAGGGGGAGCCCCCCCGCCGGGGCGGACGCCGTCTGATGATTCCGCTTCTTGTTGACGTCTAAAGGAAATAATAAACAAATGTCTTGATGGGCTCCGTGTGCCGCTGTTAAGCGAATTGATAATGGCTTAAAGAAACCATTTTAAAAAGATTTTATATAATATGTATATTACATACATGACATAAAATCATGTTTGACATGATGTTTTCACAACCATGATATTCACATAGATACCTCGGAGAAGAAAGAGTGTTAACAGCCAACTTTATTGATCAAGCGACGGGACGAACAAGTCGTGCGCCTGATGGCAAGCTACACGCCTGTCCATAACTGAGACATAAGTTGATAAGTCCCATGTGCCTGCAATTTCCCCAGCACTTATCGATGTGGTTGGGTTCAAATTGCAGGCTTTATCGAACTGTCTCATGAAGTTTTGTTATTCGATAAAACTCGTTTTTTTTAAGTAAACATACGTATAAAAATTAATAATATAACATAACATACATACAAAAAAAAACGTACAGTCGAATTGAGAACCTCCTCCTCTTTTTTGAAGTCGGTTAAAAAGTACAAATGTGTGTGCTGTTCTGCTAAGGAAACCGTGACCCACTCAGCTTGTTGTCGTCTTGCTTAAAGCGCTACGAGGCTGATTTTATACCAAGTGATTAGAATTAATGCTGACTTTCATGCAGTATCTTACCGAAGCCTGGCGATTTCGCGCATGATCTCCCTGTTTTTGGCTTCAAGCTGAGAGATGAGCTCGCGCTGCTGCCGCGCCGCGTCCACGTCCGAGCCTTCAGACGACGATCGACCCTGTGCGTGATTGGTTATTATTAAATATTACTAAAAGCCGGGACGGAGTTTCTCATCTCGAAGATACGATTATCGAAAGAATATAAAAAAGTTTCTTCACTATATTAACAATAATGTGTCAAACAACCACACCAACCAAAAAGTTTTTTCTTAAATTAGATTTACCGGGAATCGAACCCAGGACCTCGTTATCTTTGCCATTGCAATACAGTTGTTGGATTTCGTATTAATCTACGGTTTGATTTGAAAACTCACGAGCCGAGGTGGCGCCACTGTCGACAATTTCTCTAAAAAAGATGCGCGTTATCGATGCGCGACTGCGAATGATTTCGATATTGGACTCGTTAGTAATTACTAGTCCTGTCATTCGAATGACAAATTAGTAACCTACTAATTTTCGTATTCGAAAGATCATTCATTACTAAACCATGGATTATATAGAGCATTTCTACCTAGCCCTCTCTGACCTATGGTAAATACTGTAAATGTGACGGGGACATGGATATTTGATATGGACATGTTCAATGAACGAGTTCCAAGTAGTTCCCACATAATAATCATTCGATTCATTCCCGATAAAATGACAGGGGCATTCAGTATCGGTAATCATACGACTCGAGTCGAATGATTGTGCTTGGATTCGACTTAGGCGGATGATTTGCCCATTCGAATGATTAGTATTAGTAAAATTCAAAGTCGCACATCGCTAATACGCGTACGCAACGATGAAAAATCCACACAATGAGAAAAAACGATCGAAAGGTCCCAAAACTGTGCTCATGTGTAGTGCTCTGGACTTGTAATATACCGGTGAGTTAAAGTCACATAATCATTTATTCCATAGGTAAAATAAATTTACACTTGAAAACGTCATTTTTTAAGCTCGTTCACTATGCTGACTTCCCTGAGAAGAACGAGCAACTAAAACTCCAGGGTTTGCTCTTTTCAAATAAACTTAAGTGCTATGTAATACACTTTGAATTTCTGTGGAATCTAGACCCATGTCGTCTTTCCATACATCTTTATCTAACACGCAGTCTTCAATTTTGTAATATGAATTTTCAATTAAAATGCTTTTAATGTAGATTTTCAACTTAGAAATGATAATCTTAATATATGCTCCGTAATCTTATTGCAAAAACGACTACGAAATCGTAGTACCATCAGTTTGGACTAAGGTTAATATTATGGGTATCATTGCTTCTTAATTAATTTGAGTGAGTGTTTTTCAACCGTATAATTGTACTTTTTATGGCTATCGGATCACACAACAATTAATGATTTAAAGCAATAGTTACCAATTCGGGTGTGAGTGATGCCGACCTCCCGGCACGAGGCTGTAAAACGATTTACAAAACCAATAACATTAACTTTCTCTTATCTTAACTACATCCTTAACGAAACGCTTTGTCTTTTATTTGTCTCTGATAATAGAACAAAATAAATTGTACACTAATAAAGAATAAATAGATTTTGTACTGCGACGCATCACTAACGGCGAAAAATAAAATATTGTGACGTAATCTCGTCGAAATAGGTTCACAACACTTGGAAAACTTATGAAGAACTATGTCTCAAACCCTCTTTTTAGACGAAACCCGTGTTCATCAGAGAAACTTATAAATAGGTTGAAACATGAGTTTAAAAAAAATGATTAGTAATAAATATTTAGAAATCTTTAAACAATAAGATTATTTTCACGCTAACTGTACTTCTTCCGCCCCTTTTTTATGATATCAAGAGACGTGAACAAGTCGTGCGCCATCTGGTAAGCGACACACCTAGTGTTGGGTAATTTTCCGAAAAATTTCAAATGAGGGTAATTTGTCCGGAAAAAATCGTAAAAAATTGGAAAAATTTACTTTTGAAGGCCCATTTATGCCCTACGTTTAAAAATATCTTTTGAAGTCTTATTTAGAGTGGATTATAAAATAAACTTGTATAGCCATATAAAACTTACTTAGCGAAAAACAATATTTAAAAAAATTTCATAACAGCGAAAAAAAAACCTTTTTAATGGGTACATCGTTTTCGTTCAGTAACTTTTAACACTTAACTTTAACTTTTAACAGGTGTCAAGGTCAAATGTGGAAAAATTAAAGCAAAATGATGATTGATCAAAAATGGAATGTTTTCCACTAGACACACCTATAGCAGTTGTAGTGCCACTCAGAGGAGCTTTAATCGCAAAGATCTTAGGGGCACTGCCACTGCGTCCGTCACCTTGAGACATAAGTTGACAAGTCCCATGTGCCTGTAATTTCATCAGCACCTTTTTACTCTTCGAAACCAAAACTCAGTAATTAATGCTAACATTACTGTATGGCGGCAGAAATACGTGTGGTGGTAGTATACCTTAAACGTACTCTCTCATAAGGACCTGTACTGTATACGCTGTTGTTTTTAAATACAGTATCAGGTCGTACATATTGCACATCGGGAAAACTCGGAATCTACGAATATATCCGAACGCGTCTATACGTTATCGTATTATTCACTGACGTATTTATGACAACGAATTGTGAAACTTTATTAAAGTTGTCGATGAATTTGACGTTAGACAAAGTTTCATATTAAATTGTCATAAATACACATCGAGTAAGGCAAATGGACCCTATGTCACTTTTAAATGTCAACTCTCGTTTGCACTGAAATCACAAATTAGAAAGCTGACAAATTACAGCGCCAACAACTGACCTGTGTGTATGTCTCCATATATTCCAAAAATATTCTGTATTTATTGCAATAAAGATAATAGGTTGAACAATGGGAGGCTGTTCCATTCGGTGGAGTGGGAAAAACAGCAAAACATCTAATAAAACAAACGGAATCACATTTCATCGGTAATTAAATATTCAATATGTAATTTTTCGATTTTTGTCCATTATAGCAAGTTAAACTGGTTGATTTGAAATGTTACAATTGACGACAGCCGTCAATTGTTTCGAAATCGGGCTGGTCAATCGGAGCGTAGTTGTCACCGTAATGATTTGGCAGAATAGTTTTCAAACAAATTAAATGACATTTCGTCTCTATTTCTGGTTATACGAGTATGTGTACTCGATGTAAATACATCAGTTATTAATGCAATAAGTTGTAGACGCGGCAACAGCATTCGGATATGTTCGCGGCTGCCGGATTTACCCGAGGTGCAATATTTACAGCCTGGTACTGTATTTTAGATTTTTAATTGCAAATACCTGAGGAGTACAAAGTAGACATTGGACAAGGTCTATGTGCCTGTAATTTATCCAGCACCCTTAACCTTCAAAATCAGAACGCAGTAATGCCGACATTACTGCTTGGCGGCAAAAATAGGTATTATAAAACACTTCTCACCATTGTACGATTCTCCTGTGCCAATCGCGCCGCGTATCTCGCTATGAGACGATGCTCGTCGTCTACTCCACGAGACAGGTGTTCCACTATACCTTTACGCAAAAGTTTTGTTGTTATTTCTCAATATAGTTAGTAGTAACTTAAGGTGTAGACCCTACAGTTAGTTGTTTAGCTGACAAAATGTAGATATCCACAGATTTGAGATGCCAATATATTGCTTTAATCGTTTTAAAATATTTTTTTAATTATTTTTTGTTTCTCATATATTTGTATGCCAAAATGTCCACAGATTTGAGATGCCAATATATTGCTTTAATTCTTTTTAAACATTTTTTATTTTTATTTTTTGTTTCTCATATATTTCCCATGTATTCGATTTCATAGCACTTAAAAATTAAGACTAACGTGCTCAATGCAAGTAGTGTTTCATGTGTCAAAATACTCTTATCTATGCAAATTTAACATGTAATTTGATGTAACAACTGTTGATAAACTAAAAAAATCGTCGATAATTTTGTCGTTGACAGTTATTTTTTTTGTCTTGTTTTTTCTTCTTGTCTAAAATGAAGAACGTTTGTATTGAATTGTGTTACAAGTCGAGAACATGGCGTAAGTACTAACTGCGATGCGTAGAGCGCGAAGATCTTGAGTCAAGTGAGCCCGTATTAACGTAGCCGCCTGCGTACTCTGGGAACCCGTTATGTGCTGGAACCGGTGATGGCGGCCTGAACACAAAAGAAACTGTTAACTGCATTCAAATGTCTTTGAATTTGAAATTTTTGTATTTTTTGATTAATTAGTATTGAATCATTTTGCTTAAAAATGAATCGATACAAAAAGTACTAAAAAAACAGGTGCCAAATGCTAAGTAATCATTTGCATAAAAAATGGTCAACGGGCCGCTGCTCTTTCAGTGTGACTTGACCCTAAACAATGCCTATTCACTCTCGCCATGAAAACTCACTTTGCCTTTCTTTGTAACAGCAACAATGCATTATTATGGAAGGAATACGTACACGATATGGCTTAGGTTGAGCGTCCTCTCTGGCTGGTCGGGATACCGCGGTAACTGCGGGCGCGCACGCTCAGGCACGCAACGAAATGATTTGCGGAGAGTAGCACCGATCTGTTTCGAAGGTGATTTCTGAAACACGACATACATGGTTTTACAAAAATTACGCGTAGAAACCAGCGTAATATCTATTGAAACCATCTATATATACTTCTCAAGAATCTATACTACCACAAATGCCTTTTGATTTCGCATAACAGTGAAAGTCACTTTGGAAAAAATATATAGTAAAATTGAGATATATTACGGCTACAAAGCTACGGCTAAAAAAGTCGTTAAAAACCTGATACGAAGATCGACAAATTCACATAGAATGCACATAGAAACGACTTCCCACGTCGATTGGAAGACGGCCGGATCGAAGGAACTGTTTTTAAGTGTTCAATCTTTGTATTCAATAATTATAACAAACTACTGGAGTAGAACTAAATAGAGTAAAAATAAATTCACAAAAAATAATTGAATATCATTCAATTTTAATTTAACTTAATTACAACGAATAGCGACATCTCTAGCCAAGCCTGGTACCTTGAAAGGTGCCTAACTGGGTGACGAAATACTATCATAAATTTCTCATTGATGGCGCTACAGCTAAAAAGTCGTGAAAAACCAGAAACAAAGATCGACAAATAAGCACATTGAGTTATATTGTTCCAAAGGTTCGGTCAGTACTCACATAAGCAGCATATTCCTTGACCTCATGTTCGTTAGTGTGAGTACCCGAGACACGCCCGCGCCAGAAGCAGTCCTGGCACAACGTGTAGTTGGTACATCGTGAGCAGCGGTAGCGGAAGCCTGTCAAGGAGCTGCGGCGGCACGCGCTGCACGCTAGAGGGTGGACCACTGTGGATCAGAAGGTCATACGTTAGTCATATACAACAGATAATGAATATATAACCAGCTGGCTAAACTGCGTAAGGCAAATAAAAACAGCCAGGTTGCAATATCAAATCCATTAATCAATTGTTCGTTTAAACGGCAGCACTGTTAAAACTTTGACAAATAATTGTCAGATACTGTGTTTTCAACAGCAACACCGTCAATAGTTTGACAGGCAATCAGTAAATATAGTGATTCAAACATTAGCCCTGTCAATTGTTTGACAAATAATCAGTAGATACAGTGTGCAGTGGTTTAAACAGCAACACCGTTAATAATTTGACAAATAATCAAAAGGTATAGTGGTTTAAGCAGAAACACCATCAGTAGTTTGACAAATAATCAATAGGTGGTGGTTTAATAGGTAGCACTGTCCAACGTTTGACAAATAATCGGTAGATATCTATCTATCAAACGTTTAAGTAGCTAGTCAAATAACCCCGTGCTTTGTCTTTGTCCATAGGATGGTGCAACCGATCATCGTCGTTTGAGTGAATCTTGATAAATCTCTCTTATCTCTCTTCTGTATCTTTCAACCCGGATACTGGCAGAATTGTCCTCAGTGGAACAGAAGCCAAATACCCAAAAAAAAAATCTATCAAACCACTGTATCTACAGTGGTTTGAATTATAGCACTGTCAAAAATTTGACAAATAAATCATTAGACATTGGTGGTGGACACAGTGGATTAAACAGTAGTACTGTGTTCATAATCAGTACGTACAGTGGTTTAAACGGTAAACACTAACTCGGAAAGCCAATTGACAGGCCCGTTTAATAGAAAGTTTAAAGTCTGTTCCAATCCATTTTCAACAAAAAGTAAACAAAACTGTTCAGTTAAAATTCTAAAGCAATCACTCAATAAATCGAATAACTAACACTTTCATGTATATTTCGAAGATTTCGACTTGATAACTCATCAGTTTTTCCAACAATATTTTTTTGAATAGCATCGTAATTGAAAAATGGTAGTCCGAAAGCGAGGTTATTTTTCATCTATACATCTATGACTTGTCTATGGTTGCATAGTGCTGTACGAAAAAAACATTCAGTTCATTCAATTTAAGTTTTAGTACTCGATTAAGTAAATCGAATATTTCAATCACAATCGCACGAATATCTAAGTGGAATGATTTGAAGGAGGACTTAAAATTAAGATTTCGGAAATTTTTAATATCCTTATATATGTCATGTCAGGGAAAACCGCTAGTATGACTCAATTCGATCGAATCAACAAATCGATTTATTCCATTAAATAATAGATTTGTATTACCAAGCCGTCTATGGTCGGGTTAGTGACATGTTTATTTACATTTTGTTGAAAATGGATTGAAACGAACGAAATATTTAAAATTTATAAAATGAATAATGCATTTTCAATACTACACATAGAAAAAATGGTAGTGATACATTACCATTCTCAACGCTCGCAAGCCGATGTAGAAGAGGCAGCCACACGAGACACGGGGGCCCTGGATCCGACATCAGGGTGTCCAGGAAGTCGTTCACTGTTATCTTGGTATTCTAAAACAGATAAATATAATTATTTCAACAGTTAAAATCAGATACAAAGTGGTTAGATAAATAATTTACAAAGTTACTTAGTGGTGTAAGTTTACGGGTAATTTTCTTCTTTACAACTTTTTTTATTTTGTCATTTTAAATTTAAAAAAATTTAAAAAGCGGCACAATTTTCTTAGCTTACGATGAGCCTACAAACGAGTCTCAATTAAACAACAAGTTACAACCTGACACTTCGTTCGGTTAAATATTCTTAAATAAAATAATTTAACAAAAATTTGAATAATAATAATCTTTCAACATCTTTTTATTTACTTGGTACTTGGTACTTGGTGTAACGGGCTGGTGTCCGCAACTCGACGACAAGGCGCCCATTTTGCGTGTGGATCTTTTTATTTAATTTACATTTATTTAGTTTCGTTGCTCATAACATCTTATAAGGTGTTTAATGAGTACGGAAGACGTTTCTTTAAGATTCTATCTCTAAAGTAGTTAGTGATTCTTTGGGAATTTTTGTTTAATTCAGAACTGTTAAATTTAGGCAACAATTTAGTGAACACACAGATTTAATTTACAAACGCCAATTTAGTAGTGACATCTCACCTGATTGAACATAGTAAGAGCAAGTGAATCGTTGTAGTTGAAGCTAGGTGACTCGTAGACCGCAGCAGGTAGCGCTAGGACTTCACGAAGGTAATCGGAGAGGCGCTTCATCAGCAGGTGGCCATTGCCGTCTGACAGCTGAGAGAAAATATCTGTGGAAGAAAGGACTTGTATTGGTACCATACATGAATAAATACTTTACACTATCCGTCCTAATTTTTTTCTATAGTGAAAGCTCTCTACTTCGTAGTTCTACATAAATTACACAAAAACAACCGTTTAAACTTAATAATACAAAGATCTGCAACAAGCGTATGGAGAAAAACTAAGTTATTGTTTTAATTTATTTTTTAAAATGTTCATGTTTTTTTTTTCAAATTTTTTTTCTAAATGCGAGGAGCATAATATTAGGAAATAAACACGACTGTTTACAAAACAGAAAATTACCAAAAAAATAAATTCAGAGCACAGTGTTCATTAGAGATATCGATATGCACAATGTACTGTTTCTGTATATTTCTTTTCTTTCGGTGATTTTTATTAAATGCAAAATATGTTGGTTGCTTACAGATAAACAATGTTACTTCCATGACATAGAGGGTTTGGAGGGTTAACATATTATATTTAATACAGTGTGGTCAACAACTTTCTCTTTGGTGGATGTTTAAAATAATACGGAGACTTTTTTGTACGATAAACATCTTATGCGCATTAATACTTTGCCCCCCTTAGAACAATTCTACAGCGTTAACCATGCGTAAGCATAATAAGAAGATACGGCACAATTTGCTGCTTTTAGGACGATATGGATATAGATAAATTTGGAAAAGTTTTTCTTAATTTTTTCAATATTAAGTTATTATTTATTGTTCGTAGCATGGAGGGTGCAGAGGGAGCCATAGCCCCGAGCGGTACAGCAAAGAAAGCGGTGCTAAGGCGCAACCGTGCTCTAACTAGTAAATTTCTTTTGAATAAAAATTTGAAAATAAATTCCACTATTTGAGAAAACGATATTCTGAACAACACAAAGATGGCGACGGCCTTTTTTTTTTTTTTTTTTTGACGGGGGGGAAATCTTTATGGATAGATGGCAACGGCCTGCTCGAACAAACTACTTTTGTAATCGTGAAAATAGATGGGGCAGCAATAAGAGCCTATACACACGGCGTATTTTATATTTCTCGCAGACTCGCTGTAGTGAATCGATTCAAATGCGCGCAAACATCGTGTTGCAAGCAAGAAGCTTATATACTCCAATGGCGTTAACACTTAGAATTTCATGTAGTTGCTTCATTCCAAAAACTAATTGATATTAACAAACAAAACTAATAAAACTATCACTTATCAAAAAGCGCGACTACAGCGGCGTCGTCACCGCGTATAAAATACGCTGTGTGCTTAGGCTCTAAGGTTGGCCACGGGCGGCAGTAATCTGGCTACGCCACTGGTTCGAAGTTATTTTTCAGATTGAGTTACTTTAGTGGTGACGGCGCGATGTATCCATTGTTATGCAGTAAAAATTAGCAGAAATAAACAAAACTTAGCATGAGAGTGCTTATTGTTGCTCACGCCTGTAGATAACAAAAGACGTCATCTTTTAGAATGAATTAGCAGCTTATAGAAACCATTTTTCTGTTTACTCATGAATAGCTAGAAATACTGGTCAAGACACAACCTTAGTTCACCAGACACTGATTATGATTCGCCTTAGTTTAAACATCCATTTAATATAAAAAAATACGTACACCGAAGTTTATCCATGAGTTTTCCAGCACACATAGTCGCCAACGCCACTTTTATCGAAAACACTCGGATCTTGCCCACATTATCCCTGTAACAAGAATGTTTTTATTTTCATATATTTTGTATATGGGGCAATGGGTTAGGATGAGCACTCTCGTTGCCTGTAGTAAATTAAATAGCGTTTAGCCAGTGGCGGATTTGCCATAAGGCCTGACTCAAAGTACCTAAATATTTTAAAGGCTCACGTACATTATGGCGGGCCGCACTGCACCGCATCGTATAACAGTAATCTTCCTAGACCACTTTCGTGCATTTTATTTATAAAATATAGATATGTCTACCAGTAGGTATATGAATGCTGAGAAAGGGGCGGCTAGTACTGACCACATGGCCTGGGGCGGCCAAGACCGCAAACTATGTTTAGCTTCTTCAAGAAACATTGGCTTTTTTTGGATATGATTTCCAGATAATTGTGGATTTCGGACTTGCGAGCGTACCAGGGTGCAGCAGATAATACTCTGAGAATAATTTTCAGGGGAAAAAAGATGTAATTTTGTTTTTTTTACTGTCCATTTGTGAAAAAACACATTGAATCATTCTAATGAATAACCAATAACTCGGTAATCATGCTGTTGTATTGGTATCAATGCTCATGTAGTCAGAAATAGGAATTGCTTCTTTGAATTTCGCAATATTCCAGTTTTGAAGGGCAAGGTTGCTGGTGAAATTACAGGCACATAGGACTTGTCAACTTATGTCTCAGGGTGACAGGCGTAAAGCTCCAAGTGGCATTGCAACGGTCACTAGCACAACATATTCATCCCGTCACTTCATATTATTAAAAAAAAATTATTTAAAGTATACCTGTAGCCCTCATTTGTTTTTCATTGCCTAATTCGATCCCATTCCTTTTTTAATATCTTAAAATATGCAATAGCAGAAGTTACGTCAGAAACCTCATAACTGGAGGTCTGTTTTTCGGTGGTTTTTGGTGGAAGACAGGCGTAACATGTATGTACGTATGTGCAACATACAGGTTTAGGTTATATACATATATACAGGTTTGGATTAACAAGTACTATTTTTATAAAATTTTTAATAATGCACTGCACCTATTACTCAAAACATATTGTATACCAATTTTTTTATATAAATTCAATATGTTAGGTTGGCTCGTCCGGCGTTCATTGCATGAGGGGTCCATGGACCATAGGTTAACAAACCCGGCTTTACGTGTACTACTGTTTAGCCCAGCAAGTTGAATTCCAAATGTTGTTCACGTTTCTATATTCTCATCTATGGTGGTACACACAATATGGTAGCCAATTTGTTGGTACGAGTGGTCATTCTTTCTTTATAGAACATGTTAAAAACAAAATATATACACTTATTATTATTAGGGTGGGTTCATTCAGGGCCTATGCATCCCCTCATCACTGTGACCATTGACTCACACAAACTTACCCAGTACTGTAAGCGGACAGCAACCAATTCAACAAGAGCGCCGAACAAGCTTCAACAGACACTTGATGAACAGGTGGTAGTCGTTTGTTCAAATTGTGGTACAGTGAAGACACAAGTGTCTCTAGCCGAGTAACGTTTACACATGCGGTGGGTTCAAGTGTGTTGAGAGCATTCTCTCTGAATGCTTCTATTACATTCCATATGTCGATTACATGCACTGAAAGAGAATAAATAGATTTTAGTCTTTCATTTTTTAAGTTTTTACAGGTCACGCTGACGGCAAAAGAGCTGTTTAAACCCAATACAAACATCTGTAACAAGCACATTGAATATACATAGCTAGGCACTTACAACTTTTTAAACCGGCTTAAAACATGAAAATTACTAAATCAGGCTGCAGTGGTTACAGAATTTCATCTAGAGGGATTTTCCCAAAAGGAAAGTTTGATTAACACATTATCTTATTCAACCTTTTCATTTTCTACACATCTTCCAAAATTGTCTATACAGAACTATTATCTTTGTTAGTTTATTTTTTCGTCTTATGCTTTTAAATCTGCTGACATTAGAGTTCATAATCGCATGGACCAATTGCAAGACAACTTAAAAACTTTGTAAATGGTTTGTTGTTCAAGTACTGTAACTTACAATTGCACTTCTTCTGCACATATCTCAGCTTACACGCTGTCCGGTAGGATGCGAATCGGATTAAATCAAAATTCTGTTCTCTCATCTCTTGCAATAGCTGTGACCGAGGGTCGGTACCCGACACGGGGACACTTGGCATGCTCAGCGCACCTACAGACGGTGCAATGCCCACAGAGTCACGTTCCAGAGACATTTTTGATGGCTGAAATAAATTAATTGACATAATTGGACATAGTTATGCAAACTAGAACCAACCCACAAAATGTCACTTTCGAGATAATTATATTTTTGCAAAAACAGTGTGAAGAAATAAATAGGTAAGTTATTTAAGACAAAAACGTGAGTTATATGTAGCATTGAGAATGATATAGGGAAAGTATTATATTATATAGCATTAAATAGAAAACATTATGTATCTTTTTGTTTGTGTATATTGCCAGGATCTTTTGTGAGTATGTAAAGGACACGCCTGGTGTTCTACCTAAATACATAACTCAATTTCACTCGAGGTGTGGCTTGGTACTTGTTTGCATAAGTATGCCCAATTATAAAAATTATGAAAATAAATTAATGACACAAATTCTTTGAGGTTACGGTTATGTACCAGTCATTGTCAGTTGCAGTATAACTACAGAATAAGGAACGGTCTGCAAGACAAACAATACAAAGAGCAATAATATAATGTTCATTTTCTTGTATTGTTATTGAAAATGACATGAACCATATGTATTAAACATAGTTTCTTGCTTCTGGCATGGTTTCGGACTATTTCTACTCGTTACCATTAGCTAATATGGCAAAGAAAATTAGATAAATTGTCCGAGAGAGATGTCATAAACATCAAAAACATGTAATAACAAACCTAAAATTTTCGATAATAAAACCCAGATAACCCTTAAAAATACGACTATTTCTCACTTATTTCGTTTAAATCGTATGGATAGACCAGTTGACCATCAAGAAGTCGTTATCAATCAGTAAACAATACAAAAAAATTCAACAACATGGATCAATTTGACATGATAATAAAAATTTAAAAACAACAAACGTCAATTTTACGATAAAACTGAAAGTACCGACAACAATAGCCCACATTACCTTTTGTTAACAGTTAGCACATATTTTAGTTGACATAACGATAATTAATTCACCGCAAACTCAAGATATTTTCCAAGATAAATCGATTCAAGATAAATTACAGATAATTTGGTGATACTTAAATTTCACATTTACAACTAATTTTCACAGTGGGCAAAGTTATATGTGTATTGTGTACACTTTTCGTTATATTAAGACGTTATTTTTCACTAATTACACTGGAAAATAAATTAAAAAACACATTTCCGGCTAATATTTCACGTATTCTTCGCAATCAACTTGACAAGTCTGCCATTGATATTCCGTTCCGTTCTACGGAATTGGTTATTACTCAAATAAATGTTTTTCTAGTTTTAGAAAATTACGCGTATTTTAATAATATATTTAAAAACCCATAATAAATAGCAGTCATCCTTTTTGCGTAAAATAAAATATACACTAATAATAAATATATATCTTTTTTTTAAAATAGGAAGTGTAAGAACTACAGCTTAAACGGGCAAACGGAACGTAGACTTCTAAACCATAGAGCAATAGGTAAATCATGTTTTTTTTAAATTTGAAGGTGGTTTTGAAAATATTGAAATCTATTTGGTCATTCGAACCGGATCGCAAGAAATATCTATTTATTTTAATAGACTGTTTTTCCATCCTCTAAGATTAAACGGCAGCAATGTTAAGGTGCTACAAAAAAATGCGGGTTTTTGTAGATAGGTAACAGTTTTTACACAAACAAATGTTTAGTTTAAGTTTGTTAATAATCATTAAATACAGTTACGTTTTGAATGTCTTAATTATATGTTAGGTACCTGTTATGCTAATGGTTCTATAGCCAATGCTCAACAAATACATGATAATTAGAGGGTGCTTAGAAATTTGGTGGACGCGCCTATTCGCGGGCCACTTGCGCTTCCCCATCTATACGCTATACGCAACCACGGTGCGCACTGATCAAAAAGTGCTGTGGCGCGCGGCACTCACCTCACACGAAGATCCGATGCGTAGATCTTATGCGTTGTCTGCACTGAGTTAAGGAATTTCCCTTAGGTACTTTATTTGAAAAATCAATGTCTTGGTATTTACATTCGTTTCATTCTCGCTCTAGTTAGATAAAGCTTCTACGTAAGCATTATTACTGTAAGTTTACTATCGACTGAGTCCGCAAATTTGGAACGGTGGTGCGTTCAAGGCACATTACGCGTAAACGTGTGTAGACAAAATGTACGCGCAAACCTTGAACGCACCACCGCCGCGCCGTTGCGAATTTATGGCTATAAAGTAATCATTGATAATGTGCAATAGCGAGTATTTCATACGTTTATAAGCCGATACGCATAACCGCGTCGACGAGCCTTTTGTCTACAATGTCTAATGTCTCATAGACAAACAAACCTATCATGTACCCAACACGCTTTCTACAGGGTCACTTGGGCTATGAGTTCTTGGAATTGCGTAGGAATGTCGCATCACTTAGATTCATTATAAATGTATTAAGAAATAATATTGACAGCGTGAGCCTAGTGGAAAAGATCCTTAGGTTCAGGGTCCTGATGATTACTGCAACAGGCGACGTGGTGTACCCCTCCTGGCAATCGAGCCCTCTCGCACTGAACTGCACCGACACTCGCCTTTCCACGTACGACTGCACTCCTCAACTCCATGCTCGCAGCATCGCCGCAGTGTGATGTGTTTGTAACTGGGATAGAGAGACTGATGACGGAATGGAAGAGAGTCTTGGAGAGATGTATGAATGAATTAGTAAGTAGATAATTTTAAGTTTATTTTATTGTTCTATTTCTTTTTGTTTTGTGTATTTGTTTTTCTTTTTAAATTGTTATTAACTGAATTGTCGTAACGCCATGGTGCAAACTGTTATGTTACACATTTTGTCTATTAATAATAAATAAATAAATAAATAAATGTATCCCAGGGATACGCGATGTCCCTAATAAATTGTTGTATTGTAGCGTCGCAGAGTCTACGAACTAAGCGAACTTCGTTTAGTTATCGCAATAGTTCAATCAGTTAAATGTATTGCATGTACATACATGTACAACGTACTTATTAGATGTTTTAAAAATATGAATTGTATTGAATTTAATTTTCTTAATATGGTTCACGGGCTGAAATAAACAATTATTATTATTACTATTATTATTAGATATGTTTCAAGTAAAGTAAACAACAATAATACAGTAATCTAACACATTTATTTTATAAATGAACACAGTTTACATTAAATCGGGACTATTTCTACTTGTATGACGTTAAAATCTAATATTTATTTCATTATATTTACAATTTCAAAGTTGCACAACACAGCTAAACAAGCTATGAAATTTTTTACTCTCCCGGAGCTTTCGATTTAAAAAAAATATTGTAATGGACGTAGACAAATTACAAAATAATTTTATAAATATGTCATTCCAAAAGTAAAGATTCCTTACGTAGGAATTTTAAGCGTTATTTTCTTGTACAATGACTGTGTAACAACTGCATTTTATTTGAGAAGCAATCGTAACGGCTATAATTGCGGACCGACACAACTAGTATTTCAATAACATTCGACAGTATTTTGTTTTGAATCACTAGTGATAGCACATCACTAGTGATTCAAAACAAAATACGCAAAACATACACACATCAAAAAAAGTTTGCGATCAATAGCATAAGCTCCTATAATTCTTTAAATTTAACTTTATCAAGAAAAAAATCTATGTTGTGTGCTTTCTTTAAATAGGAATACCCTGTTTGAAATTAAAATATAAAACTATTTTTTATTATTTATTTTAAAAAATTGAGCCATTAATCATAATGTAATAGTGATAGAAATTTCATAGAAAGAAAAAGACTGTTTAATTAAACTTAAACAACAATTTATTATTAAAAGGTGTGAATTCAATATAAAATAACTCCTCCCCTGGCTCGAATACATGCGAAGATCCTCTTGGGCATGCTGAGGATCAAGTTATCCAGCATTTCCTGGGGTAACCTATCCCATTCTTCAATAGCGGCTTCCCTGAGCTCTGGAACTGTCTGGGGACGTGGTTCACGGTTCCATACTGCTCGTTTAAGAGCATCCCACGCGTGCTCTATTGGGTTTAAGTCGGGCGAGCCGGCAGGCCAGTCTAATCGTGTGATATCGTATTCTTGAAGAGCAGCATTGACTCGTTGAGCTCGATGTGCGGGCGCATTATCATCGACCAGTACAAATTGGTGTCCATGGTTTACTCGGAATGGTCTGACGATATCATCAATAGCAACTGCTTTGTACATGTCTGCTGTCATGAAGCCCCGATACGGGATCAAAGGCGTTCTAGCTCCAATCATAATGCCACCCCAAAAGGACACCGATTTTCCGCCTTGCTGAACTGTTCCAGTGGCAGCTCTTTGTCTTTCACGGTCGCCTGGTCTTCTCCAGACACGGACACGTCGGTTATCTGGATGAGTGCTGATTCGGGATTCGTCAACGAAGAGACAGTTTTGCCAAATGTTTTCGTCCTCACCATCTTCATTTTGCCGAAGTCTAGCCCACTGCAATCTTCGTTGATGACGTTGCTGGGAATTGAGCGGAGCTCGCTAAGACCTCCGTGCTCGTAATCCAGCCTGGTGCAAGCAATTGCGAACGGTGGCGTGCTAACTTCAAGCCCAGAGGCGGCCCTGACTTCTGCTTTTATTTTAGTGGCGTTGATTATTGGATCACGGGCTGCCAGCAATCTAATATAGCGCTTTTGGGCAGCTGTCAAAACAGTTGGGCGACCGCTGCGGGGTCGGTCAGCTAAATTCCCCATTCCGTGATACCTCTGCAACGTAGCCACGACACAGGATTGGGATATAGCAAGTCTGCGTGCTATTACTCTCGTGGTGTATCCTTTTTCCCTCAAAGTTACTATTCTAGCTCGTAAAACCTCTGATAATCCTCTTGGCATTTTTTCAATCACAACTTTCCGCGAAAAATATCTTGAATCGCTTATAATTGACTAAATCAGATTTCTGAATGACCGTAAGCTAGGACTGAAAGCCTTTTTATATGAAAAAACAATTGAACGGGGTCATTGTTTTATGTTCTAATTTATTTTTAAATAAAGAATCTAAAAAGAAGAAAAAATCATAATATAATCTACAGTAACAAAAAAGATTTCAGTTTTTCGTAGTGATCGCAAACTTTTTTTGATGTGTGTACATCCGCATTAACGAGTCGTCAAAATTTTACATAGAAAATTAAATTTTCTATCATTTGTTAAAATTTGTATTAAAAGGCCGTTTGTGATTTGTTATTGGCATGCTTGTTGTATTTCTTAAAGCTGCAATTACAATAATTCGATCATGATGATTTTGTAAATGCTAAATTATTAGATGAAATAATTAAGTAAACTGTCCGGTTTTCCCCCTTTTTCCTTTTTCTATTTCTTTACGAAATTTTAAAACAGTAATGGAAAGTAGGTAAATATAGTTTACTCAAATTCATATATTAAAGCTTTCTTCTACGTAGAACTGTGAGTATATGTAATTTTCTAAACAGTTATATAATTCATTTTGTATTTATAACACTTACAACTATAAAAATACAATTTTCACGACTACAACAGTTAACATAGCAATTTAGTTACAAGACAAACTTCAGAATGTGCGTCTATAAAAATATAAGAAGCTTTTAATATATTTTGTTACAAAATAGATTATCATATGAGTGTACAATTTCAGCCATGTTGAAGTAATACATATATTTTATTTACAAAATTATTGTGCATGTCACAGATTTGAATATTTTGGTCCTGAATGGACTATAGAATTAATACTACAGCATTTTACATGAATGATTATATTAAGGAATATATCATAAAATAGGTAAGTATATATAATTAAATCTAAATTTTAACTTAACCTGCATAAATTCTTACATTAAATACACATTTGATTATTTCAACAAATATTTTCATTAATATCTCTTATTTATTTTAAGGTTTCCTTTTTATTGATAGAAAATGGAAGTAAATTAATTTGTAACGCCGCGAACTCAGTAAAACTTAAAGGTGAGGCCAGAAGCGTAATCTTTTGAGCTGTGAGTCGCGTTCTTTGAGTAGCTTAATTTAAGTTGCATTCGGTTTCATATTAAAGTCCTGTTTGAGGCACGCCAGTCAGTCATGAGTTTGTCTGCTGACTCACGCGCTCAATTACGATCGATCTTCGGTCGGTGTGTGGCGTGCTTTTGCGGGTGGAGAGAGAGGCGAGGGAACATTTCGATACCTCCCATGAACATTACGGCAACTTATTTTTGATACCTGTTCTATTTTTATTTTGTTTTTGTTTCTTTATTTTTTTTTCACAAAATTCAGGGAGCATAACGTGAGCAACTAAATATGACCGTTTACAAAAAAAAAACAGAAAATGACCAAAAAGTAAAGTTGGCCTAATGTTCATTGGAGGTATTGATTTATTAGCATAATTGTAGGTTCGCATAAATTTTCATATGTATATACACACATTAATCTTTCCATATGGAGTCGACGTACGCAGCTTCTTTTTCTAGCATTATCTGATGCTTTATAAATGCACAATATTTTTAATGAATCCATTACAGTATATGATACACACCCACCCGGACAAACATTTAAAAGTATTCGAACGAAGTCGAACGTAAGCTACGAGATTCAAAAAAACCCGACTCACAAAATTGGTTCACCCTTAGGCTCAACTCACACTGACGCTGAGTCGAAGCGTCGCGTCGCCTCTTGTTTTTCAACTACAACGCACGGCGATGCAAGACGACACTCGCAATAGAGCGCCCGGATCACAGTGTGGTCTGACGCCTCACTGTGCACAAGGAACGCAAACGCACGGGGACGCGCAAAACCGCTCGACTTTAACCAAGCGAAGGGGCGCGCCTTCGCTTCCTTCCTTCGCGTCCATATTTGTATAACACAAATTTGTACCTTAATAATGGGAAAATAGAAATGAATATGCTATACCCGAAAAATATGACGCATCGGGACGCGTCGACTCTGCGCCAGTGTGAGTTGATTCTAATGTGGTTTGAGCCTTAATCACGCAAAATAGCTGCCCTAAAAAAAAAGAAAAATATTCAACCCAAGCGCAGTTTTTGCCACGATTTTACCTATGATGGTTCGCGGAATATTAGCAAATTAATTTAATTAATTACTTCCATGTTTATTCTTTTAAGTACCTTTGTTATTTATATTCATTTTTCGCACAAATTATTCATATCAAATAAATAGTTTTAGTTTTATTACACAATGGTAAGAACAATTGAATATAATTTCGTAAGCTTTAAATAAATGAACCTCTTAACATGTAATACATTCTTATTTTCAAACATTTATAAACTATGAAAAGAATGTCAAATCATCTACATTTTAATGGCAGGATATAACAGTATATAATTTACTCTTTATTGGTTTGTCCAACATTAGGTCCCTTACATTAAATGATTTGTGACCGCTCATTAACATGATTATAGTAAAGCCAAATTCCTAAATTTTACGCCAAAATCGTAAATAAGAACGAACACACTTACTAAGTAAATTTGTTCTAATTGTTCTTATGTTTTTTACTAGTTAATATTCTGTCTGGATATAGCCAGAAGAAGCTTTTATTAACCCGTTCATTGTCACTACATAAATAGTACCGCAAACAAAAATGTCAACACTTATTTATTTATTTATTCATATTGTACAACTTACACTAACAGTTACAATAACTAAACATGTAAGACATAGTCACTAAGGGTTGAGTCAATACAGCAAGCTGCGGAATTTTATTCACAGACCTCCAGGTGGTTACCGTCTCCAACTAGTAAGCAGACGATGTCTTGTTTGATTTGTATAAATTAAATTTGATAGTTTTATGTTGGGCTTCAAATCTAAGACAAATAAGCATTAAAAACAAAAATTAGATACTTGTTTTTGAAACTAAGTAAATGTTGATATATTAGTTGATAGATTATATTTGTATACTAATATTATATTAATTATAATATAATTTGACCTGAAAACGTGTTTGGAAACGCAAGCAAATTGGTTTCTAGCACTCGCCGGCCGCTGCCGCGAGACGCTCGCTTCGCTCGCTCGGCTCGTGTTGCTTTTTCATATACTAATCTAACCTTTTGAGTGGAGGGCGCAACCAAGCAACCAAGATTGATTAGGAGATCAATATCAAAAGATATACTATATAGTTAAAAGAAAAGACCAATATTAAAAAAAGAGGATCAAATTGTTGAATACCAAATATTAATTTAGTATGCTTAAACATACCTAATGATAGAGTTACCTTGAATGCAGATCATTTATATGTAACCGTACATCAATTAATAAAGATGGAAGAATGAATGTACCTATATATAAAAAAAAAAACATAAAAAAAGTATCGTTTATTTATATAAAAGTGTAGGTCAATGATAAAAGTGCACATTTACAATAGATCTATTATATCTTTGATGATCAATAATATTATCCCATTACATTTCCACTGAATGATCTGAAAGCTCCACAGTTAAATTTCACGGTCGTCTTTCAAACGCGATGTAAACGCGATTAACATTTTAAATTAACTAATTTATTTATTTAAAGTATTTAAATAAATATTTTTTGAAAAATTTAAAATTAAAAGAACAAAATAATGTGCATAAACCTATAGAGATTTTCCGTACATAATTATTCAACATAAGCAAATGTATCGATGCAGTCGCACGCTTGCATCGATGCATTTGTCTATAAATCGCAAGTGTAGTGATGCAATCGCGCGTTTCACGAACGCGCGTTTACATAGCTGCTAAAAGTCACCGTGTGTAACCACTCTAATTCTCAAAAGTAGACTTAAAGCTACTTTGTTTGTTTGTTAGACTTAAAGCGAATTTTACACGTACAACCAATGTCGCCAAGTAAATCGACTGACAGGAGCTCCTCCTCGGATGGCTTCGTGCTCCGATTCCGGAGATAGACAGCAAGCCAGACGCTGTAACATAAAATGAAGATGAAATTTAAATAATAATAATAATTCATTTATTTGGTACCAAGAGACTGTACCAGCACAAACTAGACGTGTGTCGATCGTGATCGATCGAATCAAAATAATTCGAACAGCACCTGTGACCCGACAACCCGGGTTAGTAGCTTCTAAATAACCCGATCATTTTAGAGTTTCATAGGTCATGCGCGCAATATTCAACTTTATCACTATAATTTTAGAGATTATTCAACAACTCACAATATTATTGTTGTCTCGTTCACTATCACGTGAAGTTCCCACTCATGACACGGTTCGCCTTGTCACTCTTCGTTGGAGTCGAACATTTATTCGATAGAGCGTTCGTTCGATAGAACCCTCGTTCGATCGAACCAAAAAGTTAAGCAATCGATCAACAAGTCCACGGGTCATCGTGTTAACGGATCAATGAGTATAACAAACATTCATCCTAATTGCTCCGTAGCGTAGTGTCCATTACATGGTAATTTTGTAAGTCTAATCTGTTTTTCGGTATGTTGTGTTTATTTATGAGTGCACTAGCTATAATAAAACTATTAATGGATAATAAATTAATAATTTTGAATGCTCATAAGTTTTATGTCATGTATTTTTTAGTTTAATTTTGTAGGTGTCACTTTTCCTAGAAATAAATTTTAGTGTCTCAAGTGTGGTTTATCAATGATGCGTTTAATGTTATACGCATTACCCATCAGCAGAAAAGATTAAAAGCTAATTGTATAATTTGACACTGTTAAACACCAAATATGGAAGTATCGTGAGAGACGGATGACCCGATAAAAGATCGAATATACGAATCATTTGAACCGATCACATTACGCATGGGTCATGATCGACCCGGGTTATCAAAAATGATCACCCAGGACAGGTCGAGTACTAACATGTTTCGCATATTATTTTAATTAGCATGCATATGTCCAGTTACATAATGTCAATTACTACCACAACAATAAGAATGTCACAAATCAATACCTCCAATGAACACTACCTCAATCCAATAAAACATACCTGCCGACAAGTGCCAGGTGTACTCAGCAGCTTGTAAATGGCTACAATGGGGATCATCAGAATAGAGGAGCAGGCGAGGCCCCAGCCTAGCACTTCAGCCCATTGCGGGTACAAGTAATGTTGGTATTGAAGAGGCTGCTGGTAGAGTAGGCCGAATACTACTACACCCTGAAAATTACATTCGTTTTATTTTTATTTTTTAAACCCTTAATTGGACTATGGTAACATATTGACCACTTATATTTATTGAATAATACGGCTGTATTGTATCAATAAATAATTATGTTTATTCTTGAGAAGAGGCTGAAAACCTTGAATCAGTGCCTAAACAAATGAATATTTTTTGCCGCCAAATTGTATGTATTTAATGAAGACAAAATGGCGGGTTTTATTATTTACGTTTTTTACACGAATTCATTTTTAGTTTATTGTATATTACGTTATGCGTTTCTTGATTATTTGTTACCATTAAGTTGATGGCTCTGAAGGAAATGCTTTATAAATAAATAAATAATAATAATAATTTAATAAAGAATTCAAGTGAAAGTACAAATACATAAATAAGTAATGCAGGGCGACAATCGTGTGAAACCCTGTAATCCGTGCGGAAAAAGTGACCACGCCTGTTCATAGAGTTCAAAGTGCTTGAACCGAAAGAAGCGTTTTCGTGAAACTAATTTAGGTGACAACCACGAAGTGTCGGTATACTGCATTAAAAAGGGAATCGATTCTTTCGTCTGTGCGCTGGCAGATAAAAGATTAGAGTTATTGAAAACGATTCGAAACGACGTAAAAGAGTTGTCAAGACTTGGGATTGAATTGTCGTATTTGGTAAATTATTTTTTCAAACACTACTGTACTCGTGATGACTTTTCTCTCATGTTTCCAAAGTTTGAACCTTTACAATTCGCCTACGTATTGAAGGGCAAACAACATAAGCTACAAGATCCATTGGATATTATTGAGAAATACGAGCTATTAAATAACAACGTGGTGTATGACGGAACGTTGAGGTCGTTCACTTTAATGGCTATCACCAAGGAGTACAGTACAATTTTGGAGACGAATGTACACGCGCACGCTTTCAAATGCTTAAAGCGTATACATATATTTCAAGTTTTTCGAAAATTTAACAAAGGCGCAGGTACACGAGTGTTCAACGCATTCTATAAAAATACATACAGCGATAACGAAATCGGTGATTGGTTCAACGCCAACAATATTACCGAGAAAGGAGTAAAGCAATATTTTTGGAAGTTTGTCCCGCTGTTTGTAAATATTCAACACGAGCTTTCGGAAAATAATAAAAAGTCGTTCAATGTATATCGTGTTGTACATGGGTTGAAATACCTCACCTACTCGCGGGGTCTGCATGAACTTTTACGCAGAGTCGATCGGCAGACACCATCGTCGTGGACGCTTTTTTCAGAAAATATCAAACAATATTGGATATTTCAGCCTGCCCAAAAATTTCGGTTATAGTATTTGCACCGACGGCGTTTGCGATTCAATGTCGATGAATAGATTAGGTGAGAAAGGGTACACGTATACAGGGTACAGGGCTTTATATTTATACTATACAAAAACAAACAAGTGAGAAAAGAAGAGGCAGTTGAAAGTAACAACAGTTGTTACAGGAAATATAATAAAGTTGATACGGGCGCCAAAATCCCGATAGTTACGTACACGAGAACCAGTGACGGGTTTGAGTACAAAACGCTGAAAAAGGGTAAAGTTGTATACGAAACTAAAGAGCGGCACTGAGAAAAAAAGAGATTACAATTCGTCAAAGAAACAGATGCAAAAATTAGGAATGATAGAGAGTCTACAGAAAAGCAACTGAGATGTGCAATCTTTCGCAAAACTGCACACATAGAAGTATACACCAAACTCCTACTCAAATGGTTCGACAAGAAACAGCAACGCTACAAACAGAGGCGGGTGCAGCGGCTAAAGTTTGACAAGTATATACACGATCAAAAGGTAAACCACACGATGGTCGACGAGTATTTCGGCAAAGAGGCCGACCAGCTGGCACGCTCGTGGTTTACGGCGCCGGGTTCGATTTCATGAACAAAGGGACTTTAAGGCTGACTTTCCACCAGAGATGTGCGACATAGCGAAGCAGCGTGCGAGAAAAACTCCACCAATAGGATTACTTCATTTTCCTAGCCTCGCTTAGCGCAGCTCCGGTGGTAAAGGATTAGCAGAGCTAAGTGTCTGTACATACAAAATAGCAACAAATGTGTGCGAGGAATGTGTGCGAGAGATGCGGGCGTGGAATGTGTGCAAAACGGTGTAGGAAACTAGAGCTACTGAAAGTATGACACTAACTGACACTGACATATCACCACCGCTCACCCCACCACACCGTACAAAAGTAAAAAGAGTTCGTAACGCATCCTCGCACAGCTTTGGTGGAAAATATCACACCGCTTTACAGCGCCGCTACACATCCTAGCACCGCCTCGCTACCTCGCACAGCTCTGGTGGAAAGGCAGCCTAAGGGTCACCGTAAATTTATGCACAATGATATTATAAAGCCAATAAAACAACAAAAAAATTTGTCGATATATATTATAGGCGAAGCGTTTACAAGTAAAAACTGCAGCAAATGTTTTGAAGAAAACATACAGCAAGGACTGCATGTCTTTAAATCTCCACACCGTTACGTATACTGTAGTGTATGCCGTAAAGATATTCATAGAGATAAAAACAGGGCAAAAAATATTCTATTGAAATACGAATATAAAGTTCAAAATTTGCCGTGTGTTCCTTCGTTCACCGGCATTGATATGGATGTTAGTCAATAAAGACCGGTTAAGGGTTAAGAGTAGAGAATTTAATGTATATTTATATAATGTTTGTACGAAATATGTTTCTCTGTGGTATCTAGAACAGGTAATATAAAATTGATATTTTGTTATAATTTTTTATAACTGGCTCTTTTGGAGGGTTCTGCTAGTCGTGCAAGTTACACTTTTTATTGTTTTTTTTTTGAATAATACGTCTTAGCTAAAAAACTTTTTTAATCAATCAGACACTGACAATATTTTTTAAAAAACGCTTTTTATTTTTATTTACTTTTTTTATTTAAGTTGTTATTTTATTTGTATAGAATACTTAGAGAATGGAAAAAATTCTAAGGTCATTATAATATGATCATTGTTTTATTCTAGAACTGGGAAATGAGTTTTGACACATTTACTGACATGTAGTATAAATACAAATATATCGTCACTAGAAAGGTAAAACACAGACATATATGTCTGAGGTAAAAGCATTGTTTTGAGCAAAAATGAGTCGTTTATATTATTGGTTTGGATTTCTTTTATGGTAACCATCTGTTCAGGTTTCGTAGCAATCTGAGCACTTTTTCGGCGCTCTAGTGATTCGATAAGTCGCCACTTTCTTGTGTTTTTAAATAAGTAATAAGCAATCACACAGGTATGAGTGACAGAGACGACGCTCTACAAAGCCCAAATCAGTCGATCTTTTCCTTTTAATCAAGATGTACAGACTAGTACCTGTACTACACCTAATAGAGGGTACCTACTCTACGGCGCTTTACACTTTTTACCTTTCCATTGACGATATCTAACATCTATACAGACTATTATCTTGTGACAAAACATCAGTGTAGTTATCTGTATACAGTATCCATGTAAAAACTCAATATTAAACAATTTAAATGAATTAATTCGAAAGAACCCAACGTAGTACTTACAATAATAAAAATAGGGCTGACAAATTTCCAGCATATCCTCCAGTAAATTCCAGGTCTGAAGCCGAGCATTTCTTCTACGTCATCGGAAAATCTTTCCAAACCTGATGACATAATAAATAAGGCGCAATTTGCATGCGAATTTTTACAATCGTAGCACAATGAACTTTGTGTCAATTGAATAACCTACAAACTAGATAGGTAGGATACTGCGCAAAAATTCTTTTTTTTATAATTTCGAGTAACGAGACGAACAAGTTGTGCGCCTGGTGGCAAGCTACACGCCTGTTTATAACAGTTGCAGTGCCACTCCAAGCTGTAAATCGCAAAGATCTGAGAGACATAAGTTGACAAGTTCCATGTGCCTGTAATTTCACCAGCAACCTTATTCTTCAAAACTGGAACTTAGTAATGTGAGCATTACTGCTTTGCGGTAGAAATAGGTAAGGCGGCAGTACTTCCCTGGACAACAAGGAGCTCTAATGCTACTAAAATTTTCTGAAGATGCGAGAGCAGATTTTTTGTGCGTTACATAATTGATATAATATGTAATTGACACAATTGACATAATTGATTATGCTATAGTTATAAAAATTCGCTTCCATTCCATTCCGCGGCGACGTAAATAATAATAATAATAATAATAAATCATTTATTTGGACATCTATGGCCCACTTGTTAGTAATACAAAAAGATACAGAACATTTAAACTTAAAGCTATTGTTAGTAGGTACAATTTATGGGACCATACATTGACAAACATAAGAACACGTATATGCAACTTAAATTATTTACTTATATACATTGAGCGCTAGAAATTTATCAACATATATTTTACGCTATCGCAATTGAAATAAGGCAAATTGGAAATTGAATCAAGGCACATTAATCTCCGTGTATTAGTGCATTGAAATTTATACCTTATTTCAATTGTTAAAGCATAAAATATACATTGATTTTAGTGTAAATGACAGTCAGAAGAAAACATGTCGCGCGTCTTCTGAAGAATTTTCGCGCGGTCTCGGGAATTTCCACCGCTATTGTATCGTATCCAGTGTGTAAGTTGCACAATTGACATAAATTTCGTAACAAAAACTCGGTTCTACTACTTTCTGAGGCAATGTAAATTGTCCTTTAGTGTACTTTCACGCTTTACCTTCTTTTCACCTTCAAATTTATCAAAAAATAAAAAAGGCAGAAATAATTTGCTCCATAGGTAAAATTCTGAAAAATATTTTCAGGATATAGGAGAGCGATTTAAAAGTTTTTTTTTGAAAAACATCATAACTACCATTTTTCCAAACAATTTGTTATATGGAAAACTGAAAAGTTTCAGCTTTTCCACTTCCAAAGTTTTATCTTTCCAGCGTCGACTTTAAAACGACATTTTTTAGCTACTGCTCATTTACTGTGGTGATTTCTTTGAGAAGAACGAGCAGGAAACTCTGGAGGTTGCTCTTTGTAAATATACAATAAATGTGTATTATTTGCAATATTTATTTCAAGCATCAAAGTTTATTTGAAATCTTAAACGCTATGGATCAAATTTGTGTGGAATCTTAGAGTCATGTCTTTCCATACATCTTAATCTAAGCATTATAAAATAAATTTATGAAATACTGACCGTAAAACCAAGAAACAGCAACAGCTTCAAAGAGAGCCGAGCAAAGTAAAGATATGCCTGCAGCGTACGTGTCCAATAAGTGAAACATGTAGATACCACCCTGTAACAAACACACTATATTCGGCGTTAGGATTCGAGATCAATAATGTAAACAAAGGTGTTGTCTTAACAAAAAAATATTGTAACCCGTTCATAGACAGTGTTACTTAAGTAGTCATCATCAACCTATTTGTACGTTCCACTGCTTGGCACGAGTCTCCTCTCAGGCGAGGGTTTGAACCATATATAGAGTTGAAGACTTCAAACGTTTTCCGAGAGTTATACTTTTTCGGCGTGCAGGTTTTATCACGAATTTTTCCCTTCACGAAAAAGCTCATAGTAAATCAGTGCCTCCAGTGAAAAACGGAATAAGACGAGTTATGCCCTTTTGTTTTTATTGCACCGTTCAGCGTGTCCGATTACATAACATATCAAAAGGACATGTCTCTAGCAGTCTCTTAACCTCGTTTTTTATATTGAACTAAGGGCATAACTCAATTTTTCTAATGCCATAATATTAGTTATCAGGCATTTTTTATGAGTCTAAAGGTACAAGTGCTCTCAACTCAAAAAATACATTCAAGTTTAACGAATAACTACAAATATACTTTTACTTAAAGACACTTATCGTGTTGTTCCATAATGACGGGGAAAAAAGTAGGACTAAAAGCATTGACTTACAATTATATGGACGTCGGGTCCGCGCTAAAAAGTGTCCGAACTTATGGGGCGTTAAAATCGTATACAGAGCGTCATTCACGCTTTAGTCTTCGTTTGTTCGACTGACAGCGAAGCAAGCAAAATTAGGCAGTACTGCGATGACATTACAATTTAAATTCAACTGTTATAATTATATTTATTAATATTTGTGTTATAATTATAATTTTGGTGCAAAAATATATAGAGGGCAAAAAATAATCAATAATCGTTACAAAGTGGTATATATGAGAATAAAATTATATTCTTATATATAATAAATATATAATTTTGGCAACAGTCGAAGTCGTGCGAATACCTACTTTCTTGCAGTTACACTATTTCTATTAATTAACATCTTTTAATTAAAAGGTGGGTGCTATAGTAGACGTAACTCAGATTCCTTTGAGACAGGTAATTTTTTTAAGAGAAACGACGATTATTCATAAATATAACATGTATTCAATTTGGAATCTTGGTCTAGAATTACTAAGATGTCTGTTTGACATCAACCCTCTATTATTTATATAATTCCAAATACAAAACCTAAGCTGCCTGCTACATCCCTCTTCCTCACAATTGAAGGGGTGAACATCCCTATCTGGAGCCCTACTTATAATAGGCCACTTACAATTGTGATCAGCCTTTACTGCAGGCTAGCCACACACTGCCCGGAAGCTGTTATATCACATATCATAACAAAGAACAAAACCACTGAGGAG